TTCCTTTCTGTCATGTCCAATCATCAGAAACTAAAACAATCTTTATTCACAGAGATGACCTTTTATTGAAGGTTACACCTCTGCAAAATTATGTAAAATAGTTAAAACATTCACTGATGGTAAGCCAATTAAAAATATATATACATAATTTCAATTAAAATGGTGACTTGTCTCTGTGAAGACTGTTTTTGTTCTAGTAATTGGACATGACAGAAAGGAAGACAACTTAGTTTTCTCAGATTTTTAATTTTTTAAAAATACTGCCAGCCATTTTAATTAAAATTTTTACATAGAATCAGATAATCGTTTTTTAAAGTTAATTCATCAAAAATGCATTTACAGTAGAGCGTAGTTTATCCGAATCAATTGGGGACTAAGGTGGTTCGGATAACTTATTTTTCGGATAACGAATCATGTACGAAAAAATATATTAATTTATCCCATGTTGAAATTTCTCTCCGTTGCGTGTCGCTTCGTGTTGAATTTTCGTCGATGTTAAGCCTAACGAAGACTATTGTATCGTTAAAAATTATTTTTTTATTTTGTACAAACAAAATAAATTTATTGAAAAATATAAAAACAATAAAAAATTATACTTCAGATGTTAATTTAGTATCAAAAACGTAAAATATTTGAGTAGCCCGAGAAATAGCCGAAGATTGCAGCACCACAGCACTAGCGAAAATTTAAATTTGCCAACTGGAATGCTTTCGGATAACGGACGTTTCGGATAACCAGCTTTCGAATAAACGACGCTCTACTGTATTTATTATGTTGGCTAGTCAGAAAAACCCACCAGCAATCAAATAATAAAAAAATGTTTGGGGGAAAAAGCAAATTTGAATGGCAGTTACAGTATCTAGGTCACAAATGCAGTCTAGAAGCCACCACTCTCACTCACCATCACATTACATGATGTTTATTTTTACTCATATGTGATTCCCATGTGATTTCATAGGAAGTTTCTAATTAGTTTATTTGATAGATGAACATTAATAATTTTATATAAATTAAAATTCTGGAGAATTTATGAAAATTCCGCAAGAAAGCTCCATTCAAATTAAATAGTTTGATTTGTGCTGAGTGATTGAGAAAAGAAAATGACTTCGAGTAAATGTGATTTTTAGTAATTCTAGTTTGAGTTAACCAAGTTTCACTGTTTTATGAAATTTTTATATAATAGCATTTTGTAAATGCCAACATTATTATAAAGCTAAAAACTTACTTCTTACTGAATGTTAACAAGATTAGTGTGAGATCCAAATAGCCCCTGGGTCTAACTAACAATTTAAAAATAAAATTAAATTTTTGTAGAAAAATATTCTTTCAATTTGATGTGAAATAAATGGTTTTCTAACGTGGGAAAACTGATAAAACAGCCACTTCCTTTAACAGAAACTGAAGCATCCTTTATTTTTCCCTTATCTATTAAAAATCTCACCACCCTGGGAATCGTTGATCCCTCAATAACTCCCCTTTTCATCCGTTCATGTGGGTGAAGAAAAATAAGCTGATTGGCCATAAATCATTGGATATAGGCAAACGATCTGTTTGATTCGGGGAGTACGCCGCAGGACCTCATCGAAGACAGACGTATTCCATATAGGCTCACTAAGGCCAATGCCCTTAGTTGGGAGTATGCCAGAAGATCTGACGAAGGGAAGACGTAGTCCATTCAAGCTCCTAAGGCAATGCCCTTAGTCCGGAACCGTATCGTATCCATAAGGCCAACGTCCATAGACATAATTATTCCATGTTAAAATGAGTTCATTAGGAAAATAAAAGATATGTTTTATATTGTGCCTATCAAGACCTCTCCATGATAAGAACTCTGAGAACTAGAGAAATGAAGTAAAATCCACAAATCAAGAAGAAGATAAAGTCAACTAAGAGGTTGTATGTTTATCATGAATTTGTGAGATCTCTCTCTCTCTGCGCGTATATTCTGATTTATTCATTATCTAAATTGATTGTCTTTAACTATTTCCATTTTTTGTATGATTTTGTTTATTTTAGTTTATTAAATTTTTCTCTATTATTGTTAAAGAAATGTCTCTTGATAACTCTCTGAATCAAATCCATATCATATCCAATCATGTGTTAATCAACGAATATAAATTCGATTAACTGGTGTCAGGTCCTGACAAGGAAGAAGGTGAATTCGCCATCACCGAATTCCGCTCTAAATTTTATTTTAACTGTAAGTCCCTCCGCCCTCAATTTCCTAGGAGTAGGAAAAGCCATTCTTTTGGACAACTAGAGAACTAGTTTCACCAACTAGAAGCCGATTAAGTGATACAAGAATACTAAACTACTCTGTACCCCCCGCTAGATCTCACATTAGCCTCTGCTTTTAAAATAGGTATTATGTGATTTAGTACAATGTAATTATATTCAGTATTATCCTCACTATCCAAATAGAAGTTAAAGTTGATTTTAATTAGTAAAATATTAACTAATATAAAATTATTATATAACATGTATATTTGTTATATTTATAATTAGATATTCAACAGGAAAATAAATTTATTTACTACAGAGTTAAAGAAAATTATATAATTGAAAACAATGAAAAATAAGAAATTTTACATTTGTAAACATATAATAGTATTGTTAAAAAGTATCATTATCATTAAAAACAGGAAAACTTAGCTTTAACCTTATTTTGGAGGTTACCCTGCTGTTTGACAATGGTAAAAGATCCTTTTCACAATATCAAAAGGATCTTATCATATATATATATATATATATACAATGAGAATAATAATCCAAACTATGCATGAAATTTTGGATTATTAAAAAATTCAGTACAGTGGTAGCTCGGTATACGTCTGCTTTAGAATACGTCCAATTCAGAATACGTCCTGTTTGGACAAAACAANTTATCTTCACATATATATATATATATATATACAATGAGAATAATAATCCAAACTATGCATGAAATTTTGGATTATTAAAAAATTCAGTACAGTGGTAGCTCGGTATACGTCTGCTTTAGAATACGTCCAATTCAGAATACGTCCTGTTTGGACAAAACAAATTTTGCTCGGTATACGACTTTTGTTCGGTATACGACATAATTCAATTATATGCACCATCAATGAACAAGTAGCACTATCGGTATACTAGACCAGACTAGACGTTCGCGGTGCAACGGTTTATAACTTTGTTAAATTTCTTCTGATTTTAATTTGTAAGTAAAATTTTATTATTTTTATTAATCACGAATCGCAAAAATGCAAATGAAAAGCGATAGAAAACTAAAAAAATGACTAGAATTTCAATGGAACTGATAAAAGAGATTGTTGAGAAATACGAAGATGGCATGCATGTTCAAGATTTTAACTGTTGCCTACCGTATTCCTAGAACGACAATATGGATAATCGCGAGAAATAAAGACATTATTAAATTTGCTAACGTTGCGAAAGGGGTTAAATCAATTTCTAAACAGCGATCGAAGACGTTAGATCATGTCGAGAAATTGCTTTTGCTTTGGATAACTGAAAAACAGTGCTGGAGACAGCGTATCAGAAGCAATTATTTGCGAGAAAGCTAAAAAGATACACGCTGATCTCACGAAAAATCAAGCAGGAACTAGCCAGGAAAGCGAGGTATTTAAAGCCAGCCATTTTTTTACACGAGAACGGATTAATCATTTTTACATTACTTCTTATGGGAAAGGTTGGTTTGGTATACGTCCAATTCGGTATA